CACTGAAACAATATTTGAACCATCTTTTGGATTCTATGCATATTCAAGGTCTGCAGAAGATTTCCAGTGTCAAAAAAAAAAAAAAAAAAAAAAAAAAAGCGACCTTAAAGTACTCACTTTGAAAAGGGGAGGGATAAATTGGGCTTTATTTAAAACTTTAAAAACCTTCTACTCAATAAAAGACACAATTAGAAAACAAAAAGGCAAGTCACAGACTGGGAGACACATTTACAGCATCCCTGACAGAGCACTAACAAGCAGGGTCTGTACAAGAAAATCACCACATACGCAGCACAAGAGGTAAGAACTCCAGGTGGAAATGGCACCAAAAAAAAAAAAAAAAAAAAAAAAAAAAAGAGCAGCTAGAGATCTTTCAAAAAAGCCATGCATGTGGCAGCCATGCAGAAGGGACTTAACCACACACAAAAGCCATCAGGGAAGCACAGGCGACCCTCACAATACAAAGCAACTAGCAACTTCACACTCACCAGGCTGCCATGGGATGCTATGAGAGGCTGACATCAGCAAACACTGGTGCTGAGGCAGAGCACCTGGAAATCTCCGGCGCTGCTGGTGGAGGTGTGAACCAGCATGGCAAATCAGACACATCACAATTCCTTCCTTACATCCATCCATCCTTCCTTCCTTTCCTCCTTCCTCCCTTCCTTTCTTCATCCCTCCCTCCTTTCCTTCCTCCTTCCCTCCCTCCCTGCCTTCTTTCCTTCCTCACTTCTGTCTATCCATTACATTTTTACATGTAAGTAAATATTTGTGTATGCACATGTATATCCACCCAGGAGTACACATGTGCACAGGTGTTATCCTCGGCAATGCTAACTGCCTGGTTTTTGAGGCACTCTCTCGCTGGCCTGGACCTCACCCACTGAGATATACTGTCTGGCCAATAATCCTTCCTTTGCATCCTTGGTTGCGGGATTACAAAGCATTGCTTGGTGGGTTCTAGGGATGGAACTAAGGTCCACGAAGGACATGCTACACTGAGTCATCTCCCCAGTCACATGTAACAATTTCCTATGAAACTAGGCATGATCCTATCATGTGACATAGCAGGTTTTCACCCAGGGAAGTGAGGAGAAGTGAAAGCAGCCGTCTACAGTGAGACTCATATGGCAATGTGCCCAGCAGCTTAGTTTACAACAGCTCACACAGAGGAGCCAATCAGGAAAGTGGAGAATGTGGCTCGCAGAAAATAATAAATAAGGGAAGGCTACACGGCAATACATAAACTACAACACAACACTGTAGACATTGGCTGAATGAGTAAGTCAAGACTAGGCCTGGAATCCAGCAACAGATATAACTCCTGTATGGTGACAGAATTCAGGAAGCTGCTTCCTCTGGTGGGATGGGAGGGATAGCTCTGAACTAATCAGTTTATACAGAGGCAAAGTTCAACACCCGAGGATTGAGCCCTTGGTCACTTGTCCCTGTTGTTTTGGGTCTGTGCCTACACAACATGCCATGGAGGAGTCTATGCACCTCATGGCAGCCAGGAAGCAAAGAGAGAGAGGAAAGAGTGAGGCCAGCAAAATTCCTGTCAATGGACATGCCTCCACAATGACCTTACTTATTTCCACCTAGCCCACACATCCTAGAGGTCCTAGGATTTCCCAATTAGAGCATCATGGATTAGGGCTGAGTCTTGAGCGCAAGACCTCAGGGATGGGGGCGGGCAGTCTAGACTTCTGTTTGGGGACAGTCTAGACCTCTTGGAGGGGACAGTCTTGACCTCTGTGGGGGCAGTCTAGCCCTCCAGAGGAGACAATCTAGACCTCTAGGGTGACAGTCTAGACCTCTGGGAATGACAGTCTAGACCTCTAGGGTGACAGTCTAGACCTCTGGGGGTGATGGTCTAGACCTCTGGGGGGTGACAGTCTAGACCTCTAGGGTGACAGTCTAGACCTCTGGGGTGACAGTCTAGACCTCTGGGGGTGACGGTCTAGACCTCTGGGGGTGACGGTCTAGACCTCTGGGAGTGACAGTCTAGACCTCTGGGGGTGACGGTCTAGACCTCTGGGAATGACAGTCTAGACCTATGGGGGTGATGGTCTAGACCTCTGGGGGTGAGGGTCTAGACCTCTGGGGGTGACGGTCTAGACCTCTGGGGGGTGACGGTCTAGACCTCTGGGGGTGACAGTCTAGACTTCTGGGGATGACAGTCTAGAGGTAAACTAGGGGGCTGAGGAAAACACAGACACAAGCGCATACACATCAGAGCATACTGAACCCTTTCCAGGCTCCATGTGTATGCTCAACTACAAAAGAAATTACTAGAAAAATAGTCACAGCTTTAGGACAGGCAAGGACTAACAGACACCATGCTTATCCGCAGTTCTCCTACCCTGGAAGTCCAGCCCATGGACACTGTTCCTATCCTCTACCTCCCAAGGATGCTGGCAGAACTCATGCCCTACTATGCTACAAAAAGGTGATTTTGGTCATGTTTGCCAGTGGCCTTGAAGAGAAGGATGCTCCTCACCCATCCAAAAGATGCCCATGGCCTAATTCCCAGGACATGAGATGCCACTCTATTGACATTTACAAAGCAACTGAGGTTGCAGATAGATTTGGAGCTGCCTATTAGGTAGCTTGGACCTTGCCTTCTGGGCCCTAAAAGTGGTGACAGAGAGGCAGTGGGAAGTGTCTGAAAGATACAGCCAGAGAATGACCCCACCCACAGCTGCTGCCTCACAAGTGAGAAAAGGCCAGCTAAGGATGCAGCCTCTAGAAGCTAGGAAGGGGAAAAACAGATCCTCTTTCCCCAGGGATTCCTGAAGGAGCCAATCCCACCGATGCCTTGGTTGAAGCCAGGTGAGACCCCTGTGTCTCCTGACTTCTACAAAACAAGCTATGGATTTGTGCTGCTGACAGATCTTAAGCGGGTAGAGGCTATATGATTTAACCCTTCCCATGCTCAGTGAGACCTGGAAGCAGTAGTGCTCAGAAACAGGTGACACAGACTCACAAGACATCACTGCTCTGTGGCATAGCTTGGGCAAAGTGTCAAGATCCTTTCTGTACTTCCAGAATCGAAATGTGAGGATGGTCCTCAGGGGGACCTTGGAGCCAGCACCAACCCAGGCAAACAAATCTGACCAGGACACCATTGCATGGATCTGAGCAGGAACATGGAGCCCAGCAGGGAATATCCTCATCACTCTGAAAGTACCATAGGACAAGTATCAGTCTGACGGGCTCTCCTGTCTATGGGGACACTGCCAATAGGGACCAAGAAATTGTAACCTTTCCCAAGGTTGGCAGGCAGGTAGGTCAAATTACTCTTCACCTTCCAGACTACTCTAAGCCACTGTTTTTCACAAGATGAAGAAAGTAGGATGACCCAATAATGCCTCATGTAACCCCTAGGACTACCCTGTTCAGATGTGGCTCAGCCAGCATTTTCAATGAAAAGCAGAGGTTTGACCAATCCCACTGGCTCTGAGGTTAAGTATGGGAGGGAAAGGAAGATGTCCCCATTCCAAACAGCAGGGTCTGAGGAGATCAGCAGTGAAGACAAGGTTTAGATGGGACAGGGCAGCCTGAGTTGCAGGGGGAAGCTTGAGGCCAGACCAGGGCTGGATGGGGGTTGGGTGACTGATAGGACAGAGCAGTTGATATCTGGTGATCAGTGTTCTCATGGCCTCATTCAGCAAAACCTGCTCCTGCTACCCACTAGCTGACTGCTGCCCCATACTGTATCACTTCCACCCTTGTCTTTCATGGTCTGGCTGGATGGGCTGGGGATGTAACTCAGTGGATAGAGAGATTTCTTAGCATGCATGAAGCCTTGAGTTCCATTCCCCCATTCCCAGCACCATATGGACCAGGTAGTATATGTCTATTGTCCTAGCACATGGGAAGAGGAGACAGAAGGATCAGGAGTTCAAGGTCATCCTTGCCTCTATGGAGAATTAGAGGCCAGCCTGAGATACACCAGACTATCTTAACAAAAACACAAGCAAACAAACAAAAGAACCTGGTGTAGGTTCAGCATTAGATAATACATACTACAACCTAGCAATTGCACCTGAGCAGCCCCACAGAGGGAGGCTTGGGACACACAGAGCTTACTGTCTCAAGGTGAAATTCTCAGAGAAAAGCTTTCTGGGTGACCAACAGAGTCTCCAACACCAGCCAGGTTTGAAGAAGTCCAGTGGCAGGAGGTGCTTCACACAGCACCGTGTTCCACACCCTTCCTGTCCCAGGCAACCCAACCAGGACTCAGGGACTCCCTGTGGAGCATCAGACAGGGAACCCCAAAATACATCGTGAAGGGCACATTTGAGCCAAGTTAAGTGGCCTTAGAATCCACACAGCCACTATCTGCAGGGGGCATGAGGCTGCTTCTGGGGAAACACTGTCAACCCAGGAGTTCACACAGAAAGAAACAGATTTTATAGGTGACCACAGGTCACTAAGGAGTCCTTCTGTCCAAGGTATCTTTGATTCTTGCAGACCATTTTGTGTAAGTGTTCACTGGCATCAAAATCAAACAATCCTTTTCCACCAGAAGGCTTTTCAGCCAGGGTGGGTTTGAGGGACGGCTCTAATGCACAGTGCCAGGACAGCTTTGGCTGTGAGCACTGTGTATCTCCTGGGGAGGGTCTGGAGAGTTCTGCCCATCAGTGGGAAGTGCCCTGTGTTCTAATACCCAATCTGGAGGCAGAAAAAATAAAAAAAGACATTCATTCAACTCCAGAGTCTCCTGAGGATGGCAAGGACATACACTCCAAGTTCACACTCCCAGTTTGCATCAGACATGCAAGCCCTTTAACAGAACCTGCATAAAAGTTTGTCAAGCAGTTCTGATTTAGGTGTATCATACTGGAAAGGAACCAGCCAAGCCATTTGCAAGGATACAGAGAAGCCCTGGGTTTGGAACATGGCCTTCCACAGAATGGCCACAGCTCATGGCCCTTGCCACACACTCCAGCCGAGCAGTTGCCACGATTCATCCAGGCCCTGTGAGGCCACCTTACCTGCCTGGCTGTCCCGAGGTTTGCACTGCACCTCCTCCACACACTCAGCCGGGAACCACCCGATATGGCCACGGGCACTGCCTTCCCAGAAGCCACCCTCGCCGATGCTCAGAACTAGAGACAACAGAAAGGAGAAAGGCATCAGTAATGGGGACAGAAGGGAGTAAGCAATGGGACACTAAACAACAGGTAGAGGGAGCAAGGGCTTGCTTGCTCTGCCAGCAGCTTGGCAGATGAGGCCAAGTAGCTTTCAGAGAATACAGTGTCAAGAGTGGGGCAGCCCCTGCCCATGGATGGAGAATGAAGCCCTAGAGGGTCTTTTTCCTTCTTCTTGTGTGTGTGTGTGTGTGTGTGTGTGTGTGTGTGTGTATGTGTGTGTGTGTGTACCTAAGTGTACATACATGTGTGCACCAGGTGCTGGGGTAGGGTCCCAAGGATCTCACAATACCCTCCAGTGCCATTAGAATAAAGATTCCAGTTATAAAGGCAAATCTGGAATGACCTGTTCAAAACAGATATGTGTTGTCTGAACATGGCTATGTGAAAGAGCTTACTATCCTGTCCACACATCTTAATCTGCCTTGAAACCATTTGAGACTCAAGGCCCTGCTGTGGAGAAAAAGAGGTCCCAGCACACCTATTTCCTCCCCGGTATTCTGACCTCAAATGGCAGATAAAGATCTGCCCAGTCTGTGAATTTGAAAGGAACAGAACAGCTAACTCTGGCTTTGTAAATTCTTATCCAGTAATCTGAGGAAATGACCCAAATAAAAGAGACAAGCCACTTCCATGCTGACAGATACCATCATATTTGCTAGAAACAATTTCCCTCCACACAGCTCAGCTGGAGGAGAGTGGGCTCAACTCCTGGCTCTGAACCCGAGAAGGTTATCTTGTGGTGTGGTTCCAGGTGGAGGGGCTGGTTGTACAATGAAGCCCAGGAAGACATCCCCATGAGCTTTCCTCAGAGCTTCAGTTGCCAACCCTGATGCCTCAAAGCACCCGGCAAGGAGTGGGATACTAAGGTCGGGCTGGCATCCTCCTCTGCCATGCCACACCTCACCTGTGCCCCATGTGGGATAGTCTGTTTAATCACTGTGTGCCTCCATTTCCTTACCTGTTAGAGAGGAATACTGTCTAGCTCACAGTGCTACTGAGTCAACACAAATGCCATCCCTGCTTGTGGGAATCCTTCCACACTGCCAGCTGGGGGGGGGGGCCTGCATTTAGCTGTGCAGTTGATTCCCCTCAAGCACACAATCTGGGTGTGTCACCAGGACAAGGCCCACAGGAAAAGCAAAAGGCTTGTGAGTACAGGCAGGTGCATACAGAGGCACCATCTGGTACTTTAGGATTTACCAGTTCTGCTCTCCAGGGCATCTTAGTGACATGGGGAACAAGAATACAACAGGATGCCAGGAGAGCCAGTAAGGTACATCTGTATGGGAGTAGACATGTCCATGTAAGTGTGTCTGTGTGGGGAGTGTCTTAGGGGAGTGGGTGTGCCTGTGTGGGGAGTATCTTATAGGAGTGGGTGTGTCTGTGATGGAGTGTCTTATGGGAGTAGGTGTGTCTACGAGGGAGTGTCTTATGGAAATGGGTGTGCCTGTGTGGGAGTGGGAACACCTTGCCTAATGAAAAGGGAGTCAGACTTGGCTTCCTTGTGAATCAATGATTTAATTCAGAATAGCAAAATTTGCTCTCCTTGTTTAAGGTGAAGTATGTAGATGAGCAGAACAAGCAACTGTACTGGGCTAGGAGTAATAAACTTGGGCACAAGAGTCTCATCCAGGCCAGACTCGAGGACAGACAGCAGACCAGGAGAGCAAGGAACAAGTGCTTATAAAAGTCCTGGGAAGGGTCAGGGAACAGCCAGCACATCTGATGACCAGAGAGAGGGAGAGTGAAGACATTGCAAGCTAGCCACCTCCTGACAAAGGGTGCACTTAGCACCCAGAACCTTCTAGAAGAAAGAACCACCCTAACTCTACACCTATCTCAGCACAGTACTATAAAGTCATTGATGGAAGCAAAGAGCTCCTTGTCCACTTTTTACAGGACAGGTCCAGCCACCCTGACCTCCTGGACAGCTGGTGCTACTGTAACCTTGAGGCTGCCTGCCCAGGATCTGCAGTGGCTGAATCCAGCTGGCTCCCAGTACTTCCAAGGCAATGATGAACAAGCTGAGGAAGTGCCAAGGACCTGTTTATGCCAAGCATTTGCCAAACACTGCCATGCCTGGCAATGGCTCCAGCTGCTGCATGCTTGCGAGAAAGGCAGTGAGGTGCACAGGCTGAGGAGGACAGGCTTGCTGGACAAAGGTGCTGGGAGGTCTTCAAAACCTGGGTTTTGTGGGCCTCTGTGCCTCTGGTCTGCCTCTGCCAGCTCCACATACATGGTCTAAGAGCCACATAGCAGAGGAACTAGCGACACTACCAGCTCAGATGGAAGCCTCCTCATCACATCCCTATAATGCTCTTCTGCATAATCTGCAAAGTTGGGAGATGAGAGATGTGTCTTGAGAGGCCACAGTTCTGATGTGAACAGCAACTATCCAGGGCTATGGTTTTTTATGCACCTGCTATGTTGATAGGGTAGAAAGTCCATTTGGACTTTCTGGACAAGGGAGGGTCATACTGTAAGGACAAGTGTGTGTGTGTGTGTGTGTGTGTGTGTGTGTGTGTGTGTGTGTTCATATAGATGTGCATATGTGTATGTATTTGTGTGTCTGGTTATGTGGCTAACATTTTGTCTTCATTCACCGTCCTTCAGTACTTTCTGACACAAGGTCTCTCATGAAACCTGGGGCCCACCAATTCCATTAGGCTGTCTGGCCAGTGGGCACCAGGATCTACCTGTCTTTGCTCCTCAAGAGTTGGAATTTCAAGTGCATGCTGCTGTACCTGGCTTTTTACATGGGACCAGGGACCTGAATTCAGGTCTTCATGCTTGCTCAACTGGAGCCCCAGCCCTAGCAAGGATGTTATAAGCACCATTTATGAGGGACCTGAGTAAATGCCATAGGAGGCACCTGTCCAGCTGCCAACAAACAGCATTCACAAAGTCTGCATCCCATGAGATTCCATGTGTGAGTCTGACATACCATGTACCTATTGTAAGATCAACCCATATCACCTACTTGTACAGGAAAAGGGCCTGGCCCATGGTGCTAAAATTCAGACCCCTATCTCATGTGGTTTTAATTCTTTCATTAAGCTAAATTTGCACAGCCCAGGGACCTTATAGGCATGGTGAACAAGGATTCCATTAGACTCCAGTGCAGAAAGCAGTTCCAAAACCTAAGAATGCAAACAGCCACCATTGGGAGGGGCCAGCCCTTGTGCAAAAGCACGTGGGTTCTAGGGGAATGCTCCCTCACTTCAGGATCAGGAAGGAAGCTTTACAAGAGTCCCTGTCCCCTGGTCTCTATACTGGGCAGAGCACAAACCCCACAACAAGGCCAGGAGTGAAGGGTAATGTAGAGAAAAGACCATGGTGTGAGAAGAGGGAAGAACCAGAAAACTGGTACTGGAACCACAGGCCTTGGAGATAGTAGTGACAGTCCATGGCAGGGAAAGGGCTGATGTCCAGAACACAAATGGAAATTACTGGATATGTGCATGAGGAGAACAAAGCATGTCCTTGAGGGAGAAGACAAATGCAAACGGATGGATTATAAATCTTCTGCATGTGCTTGCTGGTGCAATGGTCACACTGGGATCTTTAATGTGGTGTGTATGCCAAGCCACGACGTTGCTGTTGTAAGACAGCACATGCATACAATGAGTAGAAACCCCAGAAGAGTCCTAAGGCATCGCCGCAATTTAAAACACACGCTCAGAAAGTGCGGAAAACATCATTTTTGGAATTATGAACCTCGCAGGAGGAGCAAGATGGGGAAAGGGGGTTTTGGAGGAAAAAGTAAGTGAACTTGAAGGAAAAGTGAACAGGGCATTAGGGACTTGTTAGAGGCACAGAGGCACAGAGGCATGGAAGCTGAATGCCTGGGCTAGGAAAGGATGGTGTACACAGTCTCCAGAACCTCACAGTAACCCCAGCTGAGTACACACATAAAAGAGTTTATGTAGCATTTGCTGTAGGCTACACAATGCTCATGTAGGGAGGGCAGGATCAGAAGCCACCTGCCACCTCTATTTTATCTTGTGTCCAGTGCTGGGGCCTGGGCCTGCTGAGCACGCGAGGTGCCCTTCTTGATCCACCTGTGAGTTTTATCTTCTGTGATGTAGCCCCTGCAGTCCCCACTTGCCTCTTCTTCAGTTCCCTCTGTGACCTTCAGTCACAGGCTTTGAACTCACTACCCACTTTCTCTCTCTCCACACTATTGTTAGACATGTGTTCCTGCCTCACAGACTCGCCTCACCTGTACAGGAGTGATCACTGGACTCCCAGGACCCCTGGGACAATGTGGAACTTCTTAGCTGTTCACAAAAGTCCTCAGAATTCTGTCTGGGGAATTCCTTTCACCTGGTTGATTTCCTCTGCTCATCAAACCTATGCTATGGGTGGCCCAAATCCACTTTCTCATGGTGTTTTCTGCCTGGAAAGAAGCTTGACTCACCAGGCCCTGTACTTCCCACAGTGGACCTAGGAGTGTGTGAGCATCATCCATCCCTAAAGGCACAGCACTGAGGACACTGAACGAAAGGGACCAGTGAGAGTCACCGTGCCCTCCCAAGAGTCAGCATTTCCCATAGCAGGCCCTGCTGAACTCTGCCGTGGCTTTAGTGTTTCATGGAGAGGCCCTGCTTTCCCCAGAAGCAGAACACAAAGACTGACCTTTGACTCTGTCACCTCGGTGAAGCGGGATCTCGCCGTCGATTTGGGGTTGGTATGGCTTGATGGCGACGAAGAGTCTCCCAGGCACCGCACTATACAGCTTCCTCCTGGGCCCTGGGTACTCAAAGGTTGAGAGGGAGTCCTTGTTGGCACCAGGAGTGAAGGGTGACCTGAATCAAGCAACAGGGAATAAGAGAGAAGAAAGTCACTTTGTCAACCATAGCCAATGCAGTCTATAAACACTGGGCTGAGAGTGGCCCTTCTGGTACCAAGTGCTGCCAGGAGCAATGGCATGATTGGGCCAGGGGCAGCGTCTGTGCTGAAAAGGCTCAAAAAGACCTAGTGGCTACACTGCTGGGTACATCCCCAAGGAAGTAAAGCAGAGTCTCAAAGGGACATTTACACACATGTCCCTTGCAGCATCATCCTCAGTACAGGTGTTCACAGATGGATGCTGGATAAATAGCACACTACCATCCATGCAATGGAACATTATTCAGTCAGAAAAAAGATGTTCTGACACATGCCACACAGGGATGAACCCTGGGGACATTATGTTTGAGGAAGGCAGTCATAGAAGACAATAAGCTGTGTGATTCTGTCCCTATGTGGTCTCTATTGTGAGATCCACAGAGATAGAAAGTAAGATGGAGTGTCAACAGGCAAAGAGGTTCAGTAAGGAAGATGGAAGGTTCTGGAGATGCATGGTTGGAATGGTTTCAGGACACTGTAACAACTGGTTCCACTGAGCTGGGCACAGACAATGGAGAAGACAGGAAATCTCATGAGTGTCTTATTACAATAATGAAAACAATTGAAGTACTGTCATCAGGGGAACCCTTGTCATGTTTTTCCAATTCACCATGAGCATTGGTCACACTGGTAAGGACACACATGGAATCTTCTACCAAAATTGCTTATGACCATGGGCATCCTCCTGGCCACTCCCAAGATGACTTTCTTTACATCACCAGTTTTGTACTGTTCCAGGCTCATTTTCCCTCAACAGCAAGAAGCCTTAATCTAGACTAGCAATGGAACAGCTAGAGTTAAGGTTCTCACATGGGACAATCTGTGGAGTCCTCACCACGAGGCATAGAGGATTTCCAATGGTATTGACTAACTGTCACATGCTGGGGACAAGTGTTCACCCATGTCCTAAGCAGGGATAACTTCAAGGTAGCCCCCCTGCCACTTCTTTTCCCAGAATGGGAGGCTTTGGACACAAACATGACCACATAAACAAACATGTCAGGATATCAGGACAATCCGTCAGAGCTTTCCAGCCAGGAAGGCAGCACCTTCACAATGTTGGAACCTTCCAAGAAGGTACTGGCCAAGGAGAAGACAGTGGACATTTAAAGCATAGAAGAGAGTTCCAAAATGAGAATAGGCCCCCAAATCCCCAGCTATGATCTCTGAACCTGCAGGTGCTGTGGCCTCTAAGCACACAGGAGTGTCCCGGAGCTTTACGCAAGCAAAGGAAGGAGTCACTTAACACAAGCACCGATGGAAAGCAGGCTTGCAGGGAATTTCTAGAAACTGGCGGAATATTCTTTGATTAGTTAAGGTGAATTTCTGTCCTAGTTTCATCTCTGTTACTGTGATAAAATGCTCTGACAAGAAAGCAATGGGGGGGGGGGAAGAAGGATTGATTTGTCTTACAATTCTAGGTCATAGTCTATTACTGCAAGGAAGTCAAAGCAGAACTTCAAACAGCTAGTACGTCCCATCTAGTCAAGAGCTTAGTGAAATGAACCAGCTAACTTTCTCCTCTCTTATTCAGTCCAGGACCACAAGCCTAGGGAATAATGCCACCTGTGTCTCCCCACATGAATTAAGGCAGTTAGAAGAAATTCCTCAGAGTCATGCCTACCCAGTCTGACCTAGGCTATCCCTCACTGAGTCTGTTTTCCCAGGTGTCTTTTGTACTGTGTTGCCCATGTGTATAAAGGCCCTGTGGTTTGGGGAGCTCTTACAGACCTGTAAAGGAGTGTTCTATTATATTTCATTGTACTTCTTATTTGATCTGGTCAGTAGAGAGATGTGTTATCCTTTATGTCATTAGCCCATGGGTTCTTACTTTTCCAATTGGCATGATCATGAAACCTAGCCACTGGATCCTGGTTGACGTCTTTGAGGGACCCAGTCTACAGACTTGAAATTGGAGCTATGTCATACTAAATTTAGACCCTCATTTACGATGTTGGTGAGGATGGATGGTGACTGAATGCATAGGGCCTGCTTGCCCCCAAAGACTGGATCTGCTCTTCATCCATGTATAAAGCAAAGAGAAAAAAAGGCCAGATCTCCTGACTTCTTATAGCATGGTGCAGGGCCTGGAGACATACCTATGGACATGGGGGATGTGGGAGGCTGAATGCATCTTGGGTTCTCTCCAGCAATGCACCCCCATACACACCCAAGAATTTTCTAAATCATAACCATGGCTGCAGTCATTACAGAATTCTGGAGTCACAGGTGCCTGAGTGGGCTATGTGACCACAAGGATGCCAGGTTAAGGTGGAGATAGAGCACAGGGCAGGACCCTGTGCATCAATCACCTCCTTATATAACCTCTCCTTGTCTTGTCAGTCACATCTTGGGGCTTCATGGATCCATCCATCCATCTTACCACATTAATGTATCCATCCATCCAATCATCACCAACATGTCCACCCACTATCCACTGTCCATCCATCTACTTAGCCACTGTCAACCACCTGTCCATCCACTTATCTACATGCCTCACTGAATAGCCCAACACCATCTTTTCACTCACACATCCAATTTTCAGGAAACATTGCCTGATGCCCAGCTGAGCCCCTATTACCATCAGGTATTGGACAAGTCAGAGAATCTCTTAAAGCCTCAGTTTCACCATCAGAGAAAAATCAATAGCAATCCACTCCACATAGTGTTGTGGCAACTGCAAAGCAGGTAACAAAACATTGGGGTACTCTAGCTAATTCAAGGCAGTGACTAAATGTTATTCCATACATAGAAATCAATGTAAACACAATCCTGGCTCTCTGTTTTCTACTTCACTCTATGGACAGCTAGTTCTGGGCCATCAGTCTGGAGGCCTGAGAAGTCTCCACAAACAGGAGTAGGGGAATCATTGGTCATGGACCATGGTACACACACATTCTAAGGCTCAGTGGTGATGGGTGGTCCCATGTGGGTGTTGAAGTATCTTCATATTCACTACTAACTTGAACTTCATGAAGTCCCAAGGCAGCAGGCAGAAGCATTGACCCCATTTCCCAGAAGGGGAAGAGGTTCTATGAATAATGACCTCACATGGAAGTCAGAGTAGCCCTCACATCCTGATGTTCTATCCTTCAGTGTTAAGTAAAAGTCAGGAAAGACTGTAGATCAAGGGAAGGTGTTTTATGAATGGTGCCTTCCTACCCAGGGGCCATGCTCTCCTTATGGCAGCTTTGAGCAACAATTGAGCCACAGCCCTTCCATAGCCCCAGGTAAGGAGTAGTCTCAGATGAGCAGACCTGAGAGGCCAAGGTAGGACACACAGTGTGAATGGTTCAGCACTTCCCCAGCCCTGGCATCTGTGTTTCCTTCATGTTCTGGCTAAGAGCAGCCAGATGGAATACCAGACGACTTGTTTTAGTCTGAGGGTTAGATTGCTGGAGATTCAGTACCAGAAAGCCAACGTTCTGTTCTAGAGGTAACTGGGAAGGGTAAATTGGGCCATTTCCCAGCTACCCTGCATGAACAGGAACTACCCACACACTGAGTTCTCTCCATTCATTCACTCCTCCATCAGTTACTCATTCATTTATTTATAACTTCCCAGGTGGTCCATCACAGGGCAGCACACATATCTGAGCACAGAAGACAGGAGAGGTGGTACAGGGTGAACCGGAGTACACTTCAGCCAGGTATATTTTTTCTAAGACCAGAGTGATGTCCAAAGTCAACATTTGAGTGTACACACCCTGTCCAAGCTAGGGTGAGAGTCAGGCAGTGCAACTGAGGCCACAGAAGGTTCTGGAGTACACATGGCAAGTCAGAGACTAGGGCACAATGGCTCTGGCAGGAGGATTGGTCTGGAGTAGACCAAGCACAGGTGGGACATTCTATAAGGAGGCACTGTGGTTGCTCTTGGGAAGACAGGAAGCAGGGCTGACATGCAGAGTCAAAGAATTCCAGATATGGCCAGGAAGCATCACCTGCCAGAGTCCTGCGAAAATCAGTGTCTCCCTGGGATAGGGTGGGGATAATGGAGGTTGTGAAAGCTGCTAGCTGGGGCTTGGATATAGCAGATGGCATAGCCAGCACATAGGGACTTGAGCACTGGCTGTGGGTCAGCTTCATTATCCATCACCGCTATGCCTACAGACTTGACACATGCCATCCTGTTCTTTTCTGGCCACTTAGGACCTAGAGAAAGGAACACACCAAACCAGCAAGTACATGAGGCTTTCAACCTGCATCCAGCTGCCCATCCCTAGGAGCTATTACAAGGACAAGGACTTCAGGAGAGGCTAGGATACAGGTGGGACAATCAGCCTTCAGTGGACAGACCCACTGTATCTTTGAGAGTAGGTTACCAGTACTGTGTTGACCATAGAGGAGTACCTCCTTTGTCCAGACAGCCAACACACCTTTAATGACTCTAGCTGGGTGGGAGAGGCTTCTGCCTGTATACAAGGCCAGGTCCACCCCAACTCTAGAGCCCTCCATTCTGTGATAATGGCTGCTCTGAGTAAGGCTTCTTTCCTGTGTTTTCCAATTCTCTGCTGAATTTATGGGGTCTCGTTCCTTCTTGACACCCACTCATTTTCTATTGGATGACTCCAATCCTTCAGAGAGCAGCCTTAGCTCTCCCCAGGTCTGAATCCAAACTTGAGTGAAGACAGTGTTGTTAGCAACCTGTCTCCCTCCCATGCAAGGTAGGGAATGCACATATCCACCCGCACACAGGGAGTGCCCAGTGAAGAGGACTGTAACTCCTGCACCCAGGCAGTTGTGGCCTGCCAGAGGAGCCACAGACTACTACACTCTTCAGAATACACAAGGAGAAGGGGTATCTGGATGCAGATCCCACAAACATTCAGGATGCAGCTGCTCCAATGAGGAGCACCCTTCACTTAGCCCCACCAACCCCAACCATAAACCTGGCAGTCTTAACCACACTGTACTGATGGTGTCTGAGTGATGTGCACCATCCATTAAGTGTAGGGACAAGAAGGAAGCCAAGGAGATCTAGACTCTATATTAAATCTCTCTCCCCCCCCCTCCTTCCCTCACTTCTTCTTTTCCTCCTCTCTCCCTCTTTTCCTCCCCCTCCTCCCATTTCTTTTAGCACAGCCCAGGGATCAGGATGGAAGCCAGGAGAGGAAACCGTTTCCCCTCTTTGCTGAGGTAATCATGTCTCTGCTCCATTGAAGGCAGGATCAAATGTGTAGGTCCCCATGTTCCTATAGATCCAGAGGGAGAACATTTGGATAGAAACAGGCCTGAACCACAGGGCAATCTGATTGTCACCTTCATACTCATGTCTGATTGGTTGGGATGGACAGGCAAAGTGATTATTCCAAATCTTCTAGAGCCTATGGGAGAAATACTAGACGGTCCTGTGCACTCTGAAGTCCATGGCACATCTAGAATGTTTCATGGTCTCTGAGCACCTTCCTCTGCAATGTGAGATCCTTGCCTCAAGAGGGTGTCCTTTCCTGATGGTAACTGAAGAACTGGCATTTGTTGGGGGAATAGATGGTGAAGCCAATGTCACCATCCTAAGCACGACATGAAACCCCAGAGACTGGCATAGCTTGGAAAAGGCAGCATGTCTCAGATGAACACAGTTGATGAGGGTCCTAGGACACCAATGTGTTCCCAGTGATCTCACTAGCACCAGGCCTTTCTCCCTGCAAAGCAAAAGTCACTCAAGACAGTAAGACAGTAGTGGAAAGTCACCGAGATGAGTACAGCCAGATCAGCTTGTGATGTTGAGCACTCTTCCACATCTTGGCAGCCGAGAGAGACCTGGGAGTTACTGGACTGTCCCATCCACCTCCTGGGGTTCCCACACTGTAAATCCAAGTCTCTCAGGAATGTCTCACAGGATTGTGACTCAGCTGTGCCTCTGAGTGCCACTAGAGGGTGCAATCTCTGGAGAGGTGAGCACAGAGACTCACCTGTGCTATGCAGGCCCAGGGGCAGAGGCTTTGGACAAGTACACTGCTTCCCACTCTTTCTGGGTCAGCCTGCACTAGGTAGGACAGGGTAGAAGAAGGGAAGAGACCGAGGAAAGGGATACAGGATACTAGGAAAAGGAGAATGGAATCCTCTGGGGAAGACAGAGCTGTGGCAGGTGCCTGTCTGCATCCTGCCATCCTCCACTGTCTGCCACAGGGATCACAGGAAGCCAGTAAGATCCATTCCTGTTGCTCGGAATCTCTCTGATGGCTGCCAAACATGGCCGCAAGGCCCCCATAATGAGCTGATTCCTGAGATTCTCTTCTCTTAGCTAAGAAACTCAGGAAGGCAGAGGTGTGCTTGGGAGTAGGACGTGGGGACGCAGGCCCTCTCCTGGCTGTGTTGGTTGGAATCTCCTTCTCTAGGGAAGGTCCAGGCTGTGATACCTTGAGTAGTCCCTCAGCCTATCTAATTCTAGCCTACTACTTGGGGCTGCTTCAGAAGTGGGTGAAGGAGTTCTGAGCCCCTGCCATGCTGGGCAGATACAGTTCCCACTTGTAGTGTAAATGAAGGCTGCTGGGACATGGCTGGTCTCTTGTGCTGATGTGGCTTTGAGCCTTGGTTATTTCCTCCAAGCTGAGATTTCCTGTTGCTGTGAGCATGTGGTCACTGGAATGGACACAGTGAACATGGCAGAGGAGGCAGAGGCTGTGTTACAGGCTGCATGACAGTACAGTCTACACTCTCCACCTTGACTTCCTAAGGCCATTTCACTTCAAGACCCAAGAAGTCAAAGCACCGGAAAGGACATAAGGCCCCTGTACAGTTAAGCTTCCCTCACCGATGCTGGAGAATAGCCATTGAGCGTACAGGCTAAACAGGGAGCCCCCAGGCTCAGATGGTAGAATTCAGCATCAGTGTTTTCTGTGGTAGCCTGGGTTGAGAAACATGCATGGCTAACCGCCTCCCATGGGAGCCCATGCCCACTACTTAGCTTCTCCTTACCCCACATGCCAGTGTGGCTGTGGCCTCTTGCCATCCTCGCCAGTGCCACCGAGCCTGTTGAGTGAGGGGGAGCGGCTGCGGGGCCCAGGGGTATAGCTTCCAAGGCTCTTTGTGGCTCCATCAGGCTTGTTGGGTGTCTGCTGCAGCAGCTGGGGTGAGAGGCTTCGGTGGGGGGTGGCTGCAGAGCAGACAGCCCATTCAGGTGCACCAGCATGGAGGTTGTTGTCGCTATTGGAGCGCAGAAGAACTCTCGGGGCAGCCAAGGTATTGGGGGGCCGCCGCCTGCGGTTGGAATAAGCTGGGGCCTCTCGGAAGGGCACTGGGTTAGGGAGAGAAAGAAAGAGGCAGATGAGTAATGCCAGGGAACAGGGACACAGGGAGGCCAGATTTACATGCATCCAAGCACGCCCCCCCCCCCCAGTGCAAGCCAGTGATGGGCCTGAAGGCTTAGTACAAGATCTGTTGCTGGGTTCTCCAAAGCCTGACTCACCAACCCCCCCTTCCCCGTGGATGCAGAGAAACACTGAGGCACATGGAAGCTCAAGCCAGGACCTCAATGGAAGGGACTCAGGGTCTGATCTTCCATCGGGCCAGCCCATACCTTCAGCAGGTAGACACAGCCATGACACATGTAAGGATAGGCTTCCCAGTGTCACTAAACATTAGGACACTGCATGGCTCAGAGCATCACCTAAAAACCTAACTTGACCTCTGTGATGGGCAGAGCTGTGTGCCCAAAGTTCATATGCTAGGGTATAATTGAGAACCTTAGGATGTGACCACATGTGGAAAAAAGTCCTTTAGAGGGATGGCTACATTAAAATGTGTCACTAAGATGACCTCAGGTGGCAGCAATAATGAATCCAAAGATTAAGACTCAGATACACAGAGGATGATATGAGGATACAGAGAAGGCATCATCTGTAAGCCACAGACAGACTTCAGGGAACCAGCCCTGTGTCACTTTAATCTTGGGAGTTTAGCATCAAGGATGGGGAACAAGGAGTATTTCATCTCTCTGAACCACTCAGACCTACAGTATGGCCATGGCTCTCCCAGCAAGGGAAGCCAGACACTTCCCCCCCCCACTCCACCCTGCCCTGCAATCTCTTAGGTATAGGAGCCCACATCACCTCAGAATCTTTCCTTTCTTCTCCCAGCAAGTGGGGCCTAGCATCATGTGGCCCCACTTCACTGAGTGTCTCAAAGAAAAGTCTAGACAAAGTTGGATACTCACACTCTGTACGAAGGGACTCAGATAAGGCAAACCTAGGTACCTCAAGGAATGGTATCACATTGCAGTCACCCTGAGCGTTCAGCTGCTTGGCCAATGACAGAAATGGATCTCTACATTACAGAGCCTCTCAGGAGCAGCCCTCCAGGCCGAAGGGACAGTAGATGCCCTCACCTGGATGTCCAGAAACACTGCATGTCCTAATCTCCTCATGCCCAGGGAAGCCTTGCTATAGGATTTCTGCCCCTACGTCCTTAAAGCCTGTGATGCTCAAGGCTAGGGCTCCTCTGCAGATGGACCCTGTGGAGCCAGAGAGAACTGGGGCATCCAGAGGAACCGATCTGGGATCCTGTCATCAAAGGAGAAGTAGCACAGCACAGTTTAGGACAACTCATGACATCAGCTGCACAAGATCAGAAGTTAGAGGTGGGCACCTCATAGAGAGCTAAGGTTCCTGCTCTACCAGAGTCCACAGGCTTCTACTCATCTGGACATCAGAACGAGGGTACGGACATAAGTGGTACCAGAAATAGGTAACTCAGGCACAGTTCATGGGAACAGAATGGCTTTGGCAGACCTTATTGGGTACAGAGCTCACCCCTGTGAGGTAGTACCAGCACTGCTTGTAAAGACTGTGTGGCCTTGGCAGGCCTTCTAGGGACAGAGATAGCTCCAACATAGTTCACGGGGACAGTACTCTTTCAGGTCAGCTGTGACTCCTCTTTCCTAGGAATCAGAGCTATATGCCAAGTGGGAAGCCATACAGCAGGAGAGGAAGCTGTTGGGCTAAGGGTCAACTGTTATACGAGGGAATCCTAATGGCTCCAGTGGACAGAGGCATGTCGCATGCGCCCTGCTTTCCCTGCAAGCTTTAGATGGGGGAAGATGCTCACTAAGTCTCTCAGCTATGTGCTATCTCACTCCCAGTTTTTCCAGCGTGTGAGTCACAGGGGCTGGTCAGGGTACCAAAGCTGGCAGTGTCTTCTTTGGAGCTAAGAGCCTGTGCTCTTGAAGAGCTAGGCCCAGAGCCCCAGTAGCCCACCTCCAAAAGAACCATAGCCAGGTCAGGCCACCACGTGTGTTTGGCTGGGCACAAAGGAAACCTTGTTGATGAAGTTACCTCAAGTAGGACCTGGAGAAGTCTAAGAGTATTCACCTTGGAGTCTATAATAGTTACCAACAGGGGAGCCTGTAATGATCTTGGGACTTCCAGAGGTGGGGGATTTAAAAGGCCTTAAGGACAGCTGATCCCACAATGTCAGCAGGTCTCATTTGTCACTCACTGAGATCAGGGGCTGATAGACCTGGAGAGGATAAAATGGTCCTTGCACCTTGGGGCTTCCAGGAGTACCCCCTGGGCAAGGCACATGGAGGGTATCACACGGCTCCAAGACCTGGACATCCTGGCACCTTGTTACTGTGCATCTGAACAATCCTTAACAGTACCTATCCTTAACAGTACAGTTGATTGCATCTCTGACTGTGTAATCGGTAAGGTATAACACCCTTAGTGGCAAAGTGGGTAGATATGGGGGAGGGGGGACATAAGGTCCTGCCCATTGGGAAGATAAACCATATAGGGAAAAAAAAGTTCACAGAAACACAGAACAGAGATAGCATTACTTAACACTCTAACCCATGGCTGCAATGCATGCCATCCATGGGTTATAAAAATCAAAGTCCCACATGGTGAATTTTGGTAAGCCTCATTAGAAAAAGAAACGAAGGAAGGAGGAGACAGGATCTCCTCATGCAGGCGAGGCCATTCAGGCAGGGTCACAGAATAAAACAGCTGGGACATTTATACATATTTCACCCCAAAGACCAGGCAAGTGAGTCAAATGGACCCACACAGGTGACATTAGGGTGGATGTTTTAATGAAAACTGCCTTGCTTAATGACAAAACCTCACATCAAATTAGTTTCCAGGCTGCTGAAATATCTCTGGTGTTTAGCTCATAGTGAGCTTGAGTAGAAAGTGAGCTTTCTAATTTTCTTAAAGTCACCTCTTTGGAAACCTGGTTTCAACAGGGAAAAAGCTTGCTGTCTGACAAAACTCTCTGACTGGGACCATACACTCAAAGGATTTTTTTTTCATAAAAAGTGTTAAAAATAGCTTCTTTCCTGTCTGAAAATGATTAATATGCCACCCAACGGGTTCCTTCTTTCAGGCAATCTGCAAGCTCTTCAGTGGGTGGATATTTTCTTAGCCGTCTTACATGCATTTATTTATACAGTTTTTTTTTCCTTCCCCACGATAAAATTCATACAAGGTATAATAAAGAGGGATTTTTCATGCATCCCTTGGCTTTGCAACCCAGAACTGGCAACTGGCACTGGAAGAGGGTGTCATGGGTGCATCCAGCCATGTGCCCTGACCCTCCTTAGCAGGTGCTCACAGCCTCCAGGTGACTGGAGGATGAAAGCCAAAACTTCTTTTATTTTTCCCTAGGACCTAGTTTCCCAATGTGCCCTCTGGCACAGGCTCTCCGGATGAGATGTTCTGGAATGCAGTTCCACCAGAGGCTGGTGGCTTAGGAACACACTAAAATACAAAGGCACCTTCATCTGTGTTAATCTTCCAGACCAGGCTAAAGCCAACCCTATCACAAAGCTGGGGCAATTATTCCTTATTACTTGAGCGATGAACCATAACCAGCAATTTGAGGAGGCACCCGAGTCCCCTCTCCCCACAGAAGCAGCCCACAGCTGCTCACTAGGCACCCCACGCTTCCTACAGCTTTCTCCTTACCTTCCTTCTTGGTGAAGGCATTTAACAAAGACTTCATTTTCCCTGTGACTTTGGCAGCAGTCCGCTCATTATATAACCCTCTCGGCGGGCAGGAAGGCTAGGCGCGCAGCCCGGCCCCTCGGAGCTGGCGCGGCTGGGACCCGGCGAGCAGTGGCGGGCGTCTGGGCGCTCTGCAGCCCCGAGCATCGCTGGGCATGCCAGACCCAGCGTGCTGGTGACAAAGCCCACCCCATATTCTGTCTGTCAGCTGGGAAGCAACTGTGCGCAGACTGAGGCTGCTCTCAGAGCCGGCTACCTCTGGCGGCGATCCTCATGTGAGCAATGCCACTCTGCTGGGCGAACAAGCAGGGCATCGGGGAAGCAGCACCACGCAGGGTTAACATGCAGCAGGCGACTGCGCGCGAGCTGGCGGCCAGGAGACACCGGGAGGCATTTGTGAGCTGGAGCCCCAGTTATCCAAGGAAACCCGGCTGCTGCCGGGGGCTCTGTGCGCCTGTGGCTAAATATAAAGTACTGTGCTTTTTCTTTTTCTTCTTCTTCTTCTTCTTTTTTTTTTTTTTTTTTTTTTTTTTTTTTTTTTAAATTTTTAAAGAAGAAGCCAAATCTATTTGTCAGCTAACAGATGTGGTAAGAAAGTCAAGGGGGAAATATCCACATTTCAGACAAGCCACCAAAAGATCCCCGACACCCTGGTAGGCATGCCAGGATTCAGGAATCCTGACAGTGACCTATTTCCCTTTGAAAGAATCAGACACAAGTGGCATTACTTCTCTGGCCCTCCCCATTCTGATAATGACCCTGGGAAAGCAGGGCTCCGCCTCCTGCTGCTTACATTTGCTTTTTGGGTGGAGGGAAAGGGAAATTAACTGGCAAGGTAGTCAGTGGTAAAGCACCCCAATTGGGCCCAAAAGTGGGCCCTTCAGAGCTGTTTCCCCACATGTCTCTGGCATTCACACCCCGACAGAAGTCTAGGAGAAGCAAAGGATGATCTCCCCAACTGCTGCCTTGAGAAAGTTCTATCTGTATAGCAAACAAAGGCAGTTGGGGTGGGGATGGAGGGGTGGAGAAGGAATGATCTCCACACCAGGGTGAAGGTGCTTCCAGAGCAGGAGGGAAGGCTAGGGTCAGGCTCCCAGCCGGGTGCATCTGCCACTGGGGCACTAATTAAGTGTGAGCTTCCGTAGTTGCTAAGAGAACAGCTTCCCAAACCCAGGAGTTGTGGGGGGGGGGGGAGAGAAAAGGAAAAGGAAGAGACAGGAAAAAGTAACTGGAACACTACATTCAATTCCATATGGCTGACACAGTTTATGTCAACAAAAATGGCGGTGTAAGG